GGTCGAACTGTCAAATTTTGATGGCGAAGGCACTTAGCCTGAGTCCTAGTTCGAGCGAGGTCGAACTATCAAATTTCGATGGCGAGGGCACTTAGCCTGAGTCCCATATCGAGTGAGGTCGAACTGTCAGATTTTGATAACGAAGGCACTTAGCTTGAGTCCCAGTTCGAGTGAGGTCGAACTGTCGAATTTTGATGGCGAAGGCACTTAGCCTGTCAAATTTTGATGGCGAAGGCACTTAGCCCGAGTCCCGGTTCGAGTGAGGTCGAACTGTCAAATTTTGATGGCGAAGGCACTTAGCCTGAGTCCTAGTTCGAGCGAGGTCGAACTGTCAAATTTCGATGGCAAAGGCACTTAGCCTGAGTCCCAGTTCGAGCGAGGTGGAACTGTCAAAATTTTGATGGCGAAGGCACTTAGCCTGAGTACCAGTTCGAGCGAGGTCGAACTGTCAAATTTTGATGGCGAAGGCGCTTAGCCTGAGTCCCAGTTCGAGCGAGGTCGAACTGTCAGAGCGAGGTCGAACTGTCAAATTTTGATGGCGAAGGCATTTAGCCTGAGTCCCAGTTCGAGCAAGGTCGAACTGTCAAATTTTGATGGCGAAGGCACTTGGCCTGAGTCCTCTTGTTTACGTCGTTGGTTCAACGCCTCTGGCGTTAAGTGTTGGCTTCGTTTTGGCATGTGGTTGTATGTTGTACCCGTGCTATGATTGTTCGCCTGACCGTTGCACTCAGGTTGCCCTGAGGCGATTTTCGATTCCTCGTTTGGAACACCTATACGCCGGTTTCCGGCCTGAGACAGTATGGTGGATGAGGGGGTATGCTCCATTCTTTTTCCCGGCGCTCGCGAGGAGAAGGGGGGACGCTTTGCATCACTTCTTTCCTCGCTCAGGCTATTCGAGGTCAACGGGGCGAAAGATTTCTGGCTCCCGTTGGGGCATTCGATTCTTTTTTTTGTTTGATGCGCCTCCATTGACTCTGGTTTGGTCGAATTTTCTTCTTGGTGTTTCTTTTTCTTCGATCCAGGAAGAAATAAGTATTTTCACTAGGAAATCCCCACAGACGGCGCCAAATTGTTTGACTCAAATGTTGTTTATTACTTTTTAAGTAAATCAATCAATATAGATGAAGGGGTAAATCGTAGTCAACATTAATTAATACTGGATCAAAGAACATAACCATAAAGATAGAAGAATCAAATAAAATGACACCTGGGAGGTTTTTATTGATTTTAGAAATTCGGCCTACCTCTCCTTGGAAAGGTTCAGGAGATTACAATCAAATTCTTTCTTCCTCCTTTGAGGTGGAATCTCTCTCTCCCTCTAAGGTTGTTTTGCCTCTCTCTCATGGAGTTCTCCCCTGTTTTCTCTGGGTTTTTTCCCCTCCCCCTAAGGGGTTCTTCTGCCTTCTATTATAGCCCAAAACTCCTCATGCTTATCATATTTTGTTCGGGCCGGGTCGGGGAGGTGACCTCTCCTTATGGGGAGGCCTCGACCTCGACATTCGTGTCGTAAATACCGGCGATTAGGCAAAGTCGAGTTCATTGACTGCTGCTGCGGGGTGGTCGGGACGGGGTCCTTGCTGCTGTGATCGTGTGGTCAGATTCTGACCTATACAATGAACAGCAGTTTGAAGAGCTTCAACCCAAAATTTAGGAGGAAGAGAGGCCTAAAATAGAAGGGTACGGATTATATTTGCAATAGTGTGATGCATTCGTTCAACCTTGCCATTTTGCTGATGCGTATATGGACATGAGATACGCAATGATATTCCATTTTCGTCAAGAAAAGCACGAAACAAAGAAAGTTTAACATATTTAGCACTACCATCACATTGCAAAGCTTTTATTTTTTGTGGAAAATTTAGTTGAGACATAAGAATTAAATGATTTAAATTTTAAAAAGGCTTCTGATTTACGTTTTAAAGGAAACACCCATAAATTTTTTGAATAATCATCAAGAAAGAGAATATAATAACGGAAGCCTGTAAAAGATGCTACGGTAGATGTCCATATATCACTATGTATCAACTCATATGGGAAAGTCGTGAATGATTGAGATTCCACAAAAGGTAATTTATTGTGCTTGCCAAGCTGGCAAGCATTACATAAGAAATCTAATTGTTTGAAAGAACTACAAGAAACTTTATTTTCTCTAACTAATTTAGCAAGAATGGCAAAGCTTGGATGGCCTAATCGTTGATGCCAAAGATTTGGAGAACGTCGCACTGCTGCAAAAGCTCGATGAACCGCACCATAAGACAAGGAAGACAATGAATAAAGAGGGCCTTGGCTATTGCACCGTAGAAGAATTTTCTTGGTCTTGATATCCTTAATAAAGAAACCAAAAGGATCAAATTCAATGGTGCAATTATTATCAGTAGTAAATTTACGAACACTCAGCAAATTACTTGAGAGATTAGGAACAATAAGAATATTTTTAAGAGAAAAAAGGTTAGAAGGAGTAAATATAGTACCATGACCAGTGTATGAAATGGGAAGTTGAGTACCATTCCCTACAACAACTCGATCAGTACCATTGTAAGGGAGAACCGAGGATACATTACCAGGATTTGGGGTCATGTGAGAGGAGGCCCCAGTATCAACATACCAGTGTGCATCGCTAGGCATGGCATAAGAATGAGTTGGAGATGATTGAAGATCAGAGATAAATGCTTTAGGACCAAGAGATGGACATTCACGAGCTGAATGATTATATTGAAAACAAATTTGACATTGGACAGTAGCATGCATGTGCGGAGAGGGAAAAGAAGAATAAGGAGCAGGCCCGAGAATGGATGGGATTGAGGGCGACGAGAGAGATTTGGAGAAGGGGTAGAAAAATTCTTATAAAACCCAGGATTGTTACGACCCCTACCACGACCACCATTTGAGTTCCGACCCCCATTGTTGTTCCTACCACGACCACGACCATGAGGAGTAGAATGTTGCTTCGCAACAAAAGCAGTAGCAGATAAGTCAGAATTAGTGGCAGAGAAATTAGACAATTGAGCTTCATGCAAAAAGAGCAGAGAACGCGTCTCTGTAAAATATGGGAGTGGGATTCTAGTAGAAATGGAAGTACTAACTGGCATGTAATCAGAAGGAAGGCCAGACAAACTTTGAAGAACAAGATCCGTTTCTGAAATCGGATTACCAACGGAGTTCAGAGAATCTGCAATTGTTTTAAGCCGATGCACATAGTCATTGATTGAAAGATCACCTTTCTTAAGGTTATGAAATTGAACCTTGAGTTGAAGAGTTCGAGAACTAACTTGGTCACGGAATAGACGCTCAATTTCAAGCCAAGCTTCTCTAGAAGTTAGAGAATGATTGGGACGAAGAATAGCTTGAAGGATTTCTTGATAAATGGTTGCTTGAATCCGGGACAAGACAATGGAATCAAGTTGAACCCATGGTTGGAAAGCAGGATTGAGAATGGAGTTACCATCTTCTGTAATAATGGTAGAGGGTGGACAAGGAAAACTTCCATCAATGAAGCCATAAACACCATGACCCTTGAAAACCGGCAAAAAGAGTTCCCTCCATAACATGTAATTAGTGTAGTCTAGTACAATAGGAATAAAATATTTGATGTTAGACAAAGAAATAGCAGTGTTGGACGAGGGAGATAGAGAAGATTGATCAATTTTGATTGGAGATGAAGTTGTGGAAATTGAGGAAGAAGAAGAAGCCATCGAGAAGAAAGAGACCTAACTTCCTGATACCGTGGAACAATGTTATGCTTGATAAGTACAAAGTACAATTACAGTAGGATATTTATAATACAAACAAGCACAATAATAGGACTGATCTATCTTAAGATAAATACAAAAGATATACTAAATAAATATATTATCACAACATAATATACTGAAGATAGGTGCACCTGTGTATGAACTTCCAGCATATTGTGCTGGAACTCCAACATACGAAAATTAAAGTTCCAGCATAATATACTAGAAGATTGAAGCACCTGTGTATGAACTTCTAGCATATTATGCTGGACCGATATATTATACTGGAATTCCAGTATATTATGCTGGAGTTCCAGTATACTGATGTTGGAACTCCATTATAATATACTGGAGTTCTGGTATACTTATGCTGGAACTCCAGTATATTATGCTAGAGTATTTTTCGGGTTTTGAACAGTGTTTTCGTTCAGATTTATCTTTACATGAAAAGTGGCTAAATTTCAATTACTTTTGAAATTGTGGCTATTTTTGAATGACCACTTATAAATCTGGCTGTTTTTAAATTTCTCCCTAATTTAGATCAGAAAACATATCTATCTATATTATATTAAAAGCACGAAGGCCCTTAACGAAATGTCGTTCGTCATTTTTACCCTTCATTAAGTGCACTCTAAGTGGGATAAAATTGTAAATACAAAGTGAACAAAAATTATACCAAAAAAAATGTCGCAAGACAAAAGGAAAAGAAGAAGAGAATAAGTGGAAAACTTTTCTTGAAAAAAGAATATCCCACACGAGTGCTTGTCCTAAGGTTAAGAAAAGGAAAAAAGTTATAGGATATTATAACAGAAAACTTATTATATAATATCCCTATGAAAGAGAAGTCAAAATTGTATAGGTTCAGAAGGAAAAAATAATACGAGAATATAGGTATGAAAATTATTAATATTTAATTTGATATCCCTATCAAAAAGGTTAAGAACTCTTTATTCTCCGTGAACACTAGGGTTTATATTATGGTTGTTAATGCATTCATCAACCTAATTTAGATTTTAGAATAAGGAGGAGGTGAAACAATATCGGATATTAGAATTATTCCAGGGTTCTGGCTAAAGGTACATATCGCATGCACCTATCATCAAGCGATTTATTTGCCATGAGCTCTTCGCTGATGAAGTTGAGAGTGGTCTTTTTCTGGTGCTACTTCAATTTGAGTGTATGGAGCAAAAGTAGAAAACTAAGTAATCGGTTGTTTCTTTTATATTGTACGATATTTGTTGCTTTTTTTGGCTTATTTAATATTAATCGTTTATGACATGCCAAAGATTTCTATGAAGAAAGAATACGATTTCTGAAGAAGTTTATGAGTTACATATTCCTATCTATTATGCGTTGAGATAATATCGTCTTTTTTATCTTGTAAAAAGAGTTTATACATTAGACAAAATAGTAATTTAAGTTATTTTTTTAATATATGTAGGAATAATCAATTAACTATTTCTCTAATTTTTAGAATAATTATTTAATTATTTCTAGACTCTCGATATGAAAAATCATATCATTTAGTTCCAGTATTTCAATATGCTTCCACTTTTTGGGGTCCTTCATATCAACAACATTTAAATTTAGCAGTTTTAGGTATCTTCTTTAAATGTCTACGAGTATTAGTTTAGTTGTCCTTGTTTTCTTTTCTTTGTTTAGGAGTCCTTATTTTCTTTTCTTTTTTCCCAATTCAGGAGTTCTTTTCTAAGGTTTATGAGTAATTTTGTAAAGAATAAATAGTCATTTAATTATCTTTCTAATATTTTAGAAAATTAAAATCAACTAAAGTTTTGGTTAGTACACCATGCTTGAGAGTAATCTCAAAATTCATTGATTCCAAAATTTCTAAAATTTAAGTGTGACGACCCAAAGGGTCATCACCTGTTTTCTCTTTCATTCCGTGCTTCCGAGGCCTTGAAAACCTCATTTTACTTGCCTCGATTTGCGTGTGCAGTCCGGGCGCGTAGTCGGAAAGCTTAAATATGAATTCTATGTAAAAATTCATGAATTTTGATATTAATATGATAAAAGTTGACTTTGGCCAACATTTTGGGTAAACGGACCCGGACCCATGATTTGACGGTCCCGGAGGGTCCGTAGAAAAATATGGGACTCGGGCGTATGCCCGGAATCGAAATCCGAGGTCCCGAGCCCGAGAAAAGAATTTTTAAAAGAAATTGTTTTTCTGAAATTTATATGAAAATTTGAAATGAAAATGGATTAGAAAGCGTTGGTATCGGGCCCGTATTTTGGTTCTGGCATCCGGTACAAGTCTTATATGCGGTTTAAGCGCGTCCTCTGAAATTTGGTCGAAATCGAACGTCGTTTGACGTGTTTCGGACCTAAATATCTAAAAATGAAAGTTTATGAAGTTTGAAGAAAAAGTGATGATTTTGAGGTTTGATTCCTCGTTTATGATGTTATTTTGGCGATTTGATCGCACGGTTAAGTCCGTATGATGTTGTTGAGTTAGTGTGTGTGGTTAGTTAGGAGCCCCGAGGGCTCGGGAGAGATTCGGAGGTGGTTCGGGGTGTTTTGGAACTTAGGAAGAGATCAGATTTTCTGCATTTTTTTCACAGACTTTTTGTTCTACGCGATCGCGGCCTAAGGCTCGCGTTCGCACTGCCTTGTGTCTCCCCACCTTCGCGTTCGCGGTACCCTTCCCGCGTTCACATAGTCCTGGTAACCCCTTCAACGCGTTCGCATATAGCCTATCGCGTTCGCATAGGCCAATCCTTGGACCCCCCAGTTTTTCTTCTTCGCGTTCGCATACTACTCATCGCGAACGCGATGCTTCCCAGCCTGCCTTCTTCGCGAACGCGACCCCAGTGTCGCGAACGCATAGAGTCAAACCCTTCAGTGATTTTTAAAGTTCAAAAACAGATCAGAGACGGGTTTATTCCCAATTTTCTCACGAGCTCTCTTCACCAAAGCTTCTTGGGTAAGTATTCTCTAACTCGTTTTCTTCATTTTCTTACCCCATTTATCAAATTCCTAGACCTAAATCATGTAATTTAGGGTGTAAATTGGGGGAATTGGGTAGAACTAGGGCTTTTCAATTTTCTTTGATTTAGACCTCGTTTTGGGGTCGAATTCGAAAATAAATTGTATATTCGGGCTCGTGGAGGAATGGGTGACATGGAATTGATTCGAACTTCGGGTTTTGACCAAGCGGGCCCGGGGTCGATTTTTGGAATTTTGGGAAGAAAGCTTAGAAATTCATATTTAGGTATTGGATTTAGTTTGTTTAGCTATTATTAATATTATAAAGTCATTATTTCATAGATTTGACTGAGTTGGAGCCGAATTCGTGGGGTAAAGCTATACTAGAGGCTTGAGTTGATTTTGGAGCATTTGAGGTAAGTGTTTGATCTAACTTTGGCTTGAGGGAATAGGATTAGAGTATTATTTGCTAATATCTAAATGTTGAGTACGGTGTATAGGTATGGTGACGAGCATCTATACACCGGTGTCTAGCATGACCGTGGGTCTTTATTTGTGCTTAATTGGGATTCTGTAGTGACTCTTCCTTGTTAATTGATGGTTTCTACATGATATGAGGAGAATGAGAAGGAAATATGATGTGTAAACTCTTTGGAGCGTTGGCTCGATTTTCGACTTGATTAAAAAGTAAGAAATTAAAGAAAGAGATGTGATTATTCCCTTGCCGGGACGTGAAGTTATTGTTGTTGCTCCCTTGCCGGGATTAACTGCTTATCGTATTCTCCCTTGACGTGTGGCACGCCGACCACTTATATATTATGAAATGGGATCGTGTGGCACGCCGACCACTTATATATTATGAAATGGGATCGTGTGGCACGCCGACCACTTATATATTATGAAATGGGATCGTGTGGCACGCCGACCACTTATATAGATTATGAGATCTGATGTAGTTTCGTGTTTACCTCTGATAAGTTGTTTTCATCTGTATTTTCCTTAAGCATGTCCCCTCCCCGCCTTAATTGGTATTTTCTGTTGTTATTTCGTTGCACTTGTATATACATATGTATCTGCACAGGTTGTTTTTGGTAGGTCCTGTCTAGCCTCGTCACTACTTCGCCGGGGTTAGTCCAGGCACTTACCAGCACATGGGGTCGGTTGTGCTGATGCTACACTCTGTGCATCTTTTTGCACAGATCCAGGAGCAGCTTTTGGGCCTCAGCAGTAGGATTTGATCGGGAGCTGACTTCAGTCCAGGGACTTTCGAGGTAGCCTAGCTGACGTCTGCAGGCCGGAGTCCCTTCTATGTTATTAGTTTGTTTTCCTTGTACCGAGACAAACATTGATGTACTTCTATTCAGACTTGTTTTTAGCACTCTTTAGTAGTTCGTGAGTTAGTGACACCGGATCTGGGTAGAGTTGTATTTAAACTTCCGCTTTTGGTTTTCAGTTATCTATGTTTTTAAGACTTCCGCTTTTATTTAAATGACCCGTTTTTATTTATATCGTTGAGATGTTATCAGAAAATGTTTTAATACTTGGTTTGCCTAGCTCCGACAGTAGGCGCCATCACGACTCCCGATGGTGGGAAATCCGGGTCGTGACATTAAGTAACAAGCTTAACTAAAAAAATATTGTAATTTAAAGAATATAAAAGAAAGAGAATGGTTGATAAAAGTCAATAACACTAATGGTTCTGGTTACATAAAGAATCCAAAGTGAAATGTCGTACTGATTTTTTTATTCCTTTGAACATAGAATACTCTTATTGAATAATAATTGTAATTAAACAAATTATTTTTTTAATGATAAGAACAAATTATTAAGTCCTTGAATCAATATAACCCGGAAAAAGTTTTTGAATTAACTAATTTGACAAAAAAAAAAAATTAAGTCATCATTTTTTCGAAATTTATCATATAAATCGTTATAATATAGTATTAAAAGTCAAATTAGTGAAAATACAAACTTTACGCAATAAAGATAAAACAATATAAGACAAATTAAAATAATACTAAGTGAGTTGTCATTTTTTTTTGTGGTATTCATTCAACAAATGACAACTCCCCATATTTTTCTATGTATTAAGTTACTTACTATAAAATACTAACTTAATGTAGTCATTTTAAAACACTTTGCATGTTCTTTAATTATTGATGCTAGGCACATATTTTAAACTTGATTTACATGTTCTTTCAGTACATATATTTTACTGATTGACTCTAGGCATACGTGTAACGCACGTATACTAAGACTAGTTCAGTTAAAAGAGCACAGAGAATTACAGATTGATGCACTTGCTGGTTTTATTAAGGTTTGTCAACAAAGAAGAAAGTAAATTAACTAGATTTACAAGAAATTTGTAGAACATAGAAAAACGTATACAAGAAGCAAATGACGAGTGCAAGATTTTACAGACGTGTGTTTGGGTCGAGAACTATATTATTGTTAAATTTTGACTTGTCTCAAATTAATATTTATCTATATAATTTTCAAAGACATCGCCCTATTGTATGTATACTTTAAATATACGTGCACACAGATGTATAAGGAATATCTATATTGTATTATCTATCTATCTATATCTATATCTATTTATATTTATTTATATTATTATAAAAGAACGAATAATTTATGTTAAATGTTGAACGATTAAAATATCCTTCTAACTTTGATAGACTTTTATGCCCTTAAATATTTGAGTTAAAGGTGGATATAATTGTAATATTTAAAATATTACCCTAGGATGGAATTCTTTCCCAATTTAAACTCTAGATACACCGCGTGTAAATTCCTACTCTACCAATATCCATAACTTCTATTCCAACTAAAAAGTGGTAACGTCGGAAATAATTATATGAACTTGAACAAACTTCTAATACCAATCTAAGTTCCAACTTTTCATCTGTATGTGTTTAAACTTTGGTTATTAAATATTTTCCTATTTGAAAATCCTTTGAAATCCTAATATTTAGGACTAGAATCAATTAAATATACTTAGAAACTTATTTGACGTCAATAAGACAACTAAATCCCAATTCAATTCAGTTCCAAATTACAATTATGATACTTCTTCCTATCAAATTCGAAAGACGAATTTCACGTGATTATTGTAATTCTTAATTACGCAATAGATATAAAGCAAATGGAGGTTAACGCTATAGTATGTTACTCAAAAAAGAACTATGTAAAAGAGTATATTATAATAATTTAAAAATATAATTTAAAGAATTTGAAGTCAAGTATGAACTTTTCCATTTTTTTGTTTCTAAAATATTTGACCTTACCGGTAGAGATTTTATATTGGACAAAATTATAATTTAATTATTTTTTTAATATTTTAAACTTTTAAATCAACTAAATTTTTGCTATTAAATATTTACTTATTTGAACTATGTAGGAAGTGGACTTTAAAATCCATTAAGATTTGACCTTATATAAATTATTTTTATATTTTAATTATGTAACATAACTATAATACTTTTCATATTATTTTATGTAATATTTAGTACTTTAAAATTAACTATTCACTATTAAAAAAATTAGGTTTTAGCGACGGTCAAATTCTGTAGCTAAACAGAAAAATCCATCGCTAGTCTCATTTCGCGACGGATTAGCAACAGATTATCAAGAAATTCTGCTAGCTACGGGCGTTTTAGCGGCAAATTAGCGACGACGTTCGTAGCTAATTCCAGTTTTTTTTTGTAGTGATTATATAAGAGAAGATATATACATTATGAAATTTAGAGACAATTATTAAATTGTATAAGGGGTTAAAAAGAAATATATCTATAATCTAGGTAAATTTTTTTTAAAAAAAGGTTAAATTATATTTCAAAAGTTTCAGACGTACGTAAATAAAAAAGTAAGCAAACTAATAATAGAATTCTAATGTAAATAACTCTAGGATTCTATGATTTCTTTTGGGAATTTTAGGAACGTATTAATTATTTTTCAGTCAATTGCTTTTTAAAAAGTTTCATATCTGCTTGACAATTGACACATTTTGTTAGGGAATGTGTTTTGGTGTTGATTCGAAAAAATAATTTTCATTCTTAGGATTTGGTTCTTTTATACCTTCTACGCGGTAAGTACTCCGAAAATCTTACTTCGATGTACCTCCACACCAATGTGCATTGGTGTAAGCCACTAATTTCTACCCCAACTTAGTATTATGGAAAAAAAATTCGTTCACATGGTACTATATCTTTCACACATCATTTGCATGAAAGGCGATGCTTTCGTTTTGTATCTCAAAAAATTAATTTCAAATTCTTTCATAAATAATTGATTAATAATCTCGTGCAATACACGAACGTGAAAACTAGTTATATTAAAAGCACGAAGGCCTTTAGTGAAATGCGGTTCGTCTTTTTTATCCTTAAAAATTAGATTTCAAATTGGACTAAATAGTAATTTAAGTTATTTTCCAAATATTCAGAATTTTGAAATCAACTAAAATTTTAGTTAATTTTTTTCCTTATTTGAATATGTAGGAAATCATAATATTTAATTAGGGATTTTCCAATAAATTCCTTCTTTATATTTAATTAGGGTTAGTATACCGCATCTATTAAAGAATTTCAGCAACGATAACAATCTTGAATAACTTACTTAAGATATCACTATTGCACGAGTTTCTCAATCGCGGCCAACTTCTCATTATGTTTGATTTCCGGTTGTAAATTGAGTTTCAGTTTGCCATCTTCTTATAGTTGGTTTTCAATTTTAAATTGAGTTTCTCTTTTAGTTTTTCGCTTTCCTATAATTAAATTTCATTGTAATCATAAGTATTCGTTTCGGATACCAACAAGAGTTGTGGTGGAGTGGTTAGTACTCCTTCATCCTGAACCAGAGTTTACGAGTTTGAGCCCCTGGGTATGGAGTCGCCTTTGTTAAGGAGCGCTTTAACCCCCAATGTGGAACTTCCCGGCGCGAATTCGAATTTAATCAGACCCAATGTGGGTACTGGACAACGGATGGGAAACCAAAAAAAAAAAGTTTTCGTTTTGGTCTAGACTCTAGATTGTTGTTTCTATGGTAATGAGTATGTATTCTCGTGATTTATGGGTGAATGGTCCTTTTTGGTGTGATATCCTTGCTTACAGACAAATACAATTACCAAAGTGGCGAAGTGATGGACGAGATTATAATGAAGATATGAGAGCTTCAGAGAAGACAACAATGGCGAAAATGAAGGAGAAGCTTCTAGAGACAATTTCAGTTTGAGAGGAGAAAATGAATCATGTATTGAAACTCTAATTACAATCTACTGAAGCTATCTATATATACACGTTTCAATTATAGAATCTAACGTACTGACCTCTTGCCTCTACACTAACCAATCCCATAATTAGTTACAACTAACTAATCCTTCTTAACTAACTTAACTCCACTCACGTGATAGGCACGTGACCACTTCTATCTTCAACACTCCCCCTCAAGCTAGATGGTGCAAACAAGTTCAGCACCCCTAGCTTGCTTATTAGGTAATCATGTTGCGATCTTCCTAGAGCCTTTGTGAACAGATCAGCCTCCTGGTCTCTATACATCACATATCTCGTTTTGACAATTCCTTATTGGATTTTTTCTCTGATGAAGTGCAGGTCTATTTCTATATGCTTCGTTCATTCGTGGAATATAGGATTTGCAACAATTTGGATTGCTGCCTTGCTGTCACAGAACAGCTTTACTGGCAATTCAACTTTTGCACCTAATTCCTTGCATAACCCTGTCAACCATAGGATTTCTGAGACTGCAGCAACCATGCTCCTGTACTCAGCTTCTGCTGAGCTTCTTGATATCGTGCACTGTTTCTTTGACTTCCAAGACACCAAGGAATCTCCCAGCTTCATCACGTACCCTGTTACAGACTTTCTGGACACTGGACATGATGCCCAGTCAGCATCACAAAATGCTGTGAGTTTTGGGCAAGGCTTTGAGCTCATCAGTAGACCAAGTCCTGGTGCTCCTTTTATGTACCTGACAACTCTCACTGTTGCCTCCATGTGAGACTTCTTTGGGCAATGCATAAATTGGCTCAACACATTCACTGCATAGCAAATATCTGGTCTTGTCATAGTGAGGTATAGTAGTTTCCCAACCAATCTTTGGTATGGCCCTGCATCTGGCAGCTTTTCATCATCTTTCAGCTCCAAATGTTGATCATATTCTGTTGTTGTAAATCTCTGATTGCATTCCATTGGAGTGGCTACTGGTTTTGATCCTGCCATTCGAAGATCAGTAATCAGCTCCATTGCAAATTTTCGTTGGTTCGTCAGTATTCCTTCTCTTGATCTTGCTATCTCAATTCCCAGGAAAAACTTCATCTCTCCCAAATCTTTGATCTTAAAATTGCTTTGCAATACGGATTTTGCTTCTGAAATTAAGAAATGATCATTCCCAGTTATGAGAAGATCATCTACATATACAAGGATGATCACTAGACTAATCCCTTGCCTTTTTGTGAACAAGGAATAATCAAATCGACTTTGCACAAATCCTGAAGTGATCAAGGCCTCAGACAGCTTCAAATTCCACTGTCTAGAAGCTTGCTTCAATCCATAAAGGGATTCATGCAGCCTACATACTTTCTCCCCTGGCTGTGAAATCCCTGAGGCAAGCACATATACACTTCTTCAGTGAGGTCACCCTGAAGGAAGGCATTATACACGTCCATCTGATGCAAATGCCAGCTGTGTGCTGCTGCTAGGGCAAGAACAACTCTGACTGTCACCATCTTGAACACAGGGGAAAAGGTCTCCTAGTAGTCAAGCCCTTCAATTTGATTATATCCTTTTGCAACCAAACGAGCTTTGTATCTTTCAACTTCTCCATCTGCTCTATATTTTATTTTGAATACCCATTTACAACCAACGGGAACTTTCCCTGCTGGTAAATCTACTAAGGACTAGGTCCCATTCTCTTTGAGGGCACTCAACTCTTGTGTCATAGCTTCCACCCATTTAGGATCTCCTGCTGCTTCTTCATAGCTGTTAGGTTCCTTCAAGCTAGTAATTTTGGAGAGATAAGTCTTGTACTTGACTGAGACTCCATCATGATACAGAAAATCTTGCATGGGATATTTGCAAAATGTCTGTGGAGCTGAGCTGACCTGTGATCCATTGCATACATAGTCCTGCATCCAGGCAGGTTCTTCCACAGTCCTGCTAGATTTCCTGGGCTGGTTGTCTGAGTTTGAAGGAAAAACTGCTTTTGAGAATGTGTCTCCTATCTGTTGTGACTGTTGTAGGTCTTCAAGAACTGGTGGTGGTAGCAAGGGTGGTGAGTTTGCAGAAGGGACTAACTCATGTTATGAGGCATCTACAAAAGAGGGAGTTACAGCTTCTTGTGGAGGATCTGCAGTAAAAGATGAAGGAGATGATGGTGTTGTGTCATTGCTGGGAACTGATTCTATGACACCATTGGGAAAAATCTGCAACTTCCCTTCCTTTAAAAGCTGGAAAGGGAAAATATTTTCCATGAGTTTTACATCCCTGCTGACAAAAAAGGAGTTAGTCAAGAGATCATACAGTTTATATCCTTTCTGAGATGAAGAGTATCCCATATGCACAACCCCAATGGCTCTTGCTCCAAATTTATCTCCCCTCACTAGGACTTTGGCAAAGCACAGACATCCTATGATCCTCGGATGCTGTAAGGAAGGTGCTCTTCCATACATCAACTAGAATGAAGACTTCCCTGATAGCACTGATAGGGGAAGTCTGTTAATGACATAAACTGCTGCTTGCACACATTCTCCCCAAAACTTGAGAGGCAAATGACCTTGCAGCCTAATTGCCCTAGCCACCTCCAGTATATGTCTATGTTTTGTTTCCACTACCCCATTCTGCTATGGAGTATGGACACAAGAACTTTGATGAATCATACCACATAATTGAAACAGATTGCTGCATTCAGAATTGAAAAATTCAGTCCCGTTATCACTTCTCAAAATTTTGACTCTTCCTCCAAACTGAGTTTTTATTAAGGCAAAGAACTGTTTCAAGCATACAATCACATCACTCTTAAGTCTTAACAAGTAAACCCATATCATTCTAGCGTAATCATCTACTATAGTAAGAAAAAATTTGTGTCCATTGTGACTTGCTACTCTATATGGACCCCATACATCTACATGAATCAGCTCAAAAGGCTTATTAGATCTACTTGTACTCTTTGGAAATGGCAATCTTCCTTGTCTAGCTAGTGGACATATTGTGCAGTCTTCATTCTGTCATTGTTTAATTTGAAATTCATGTTTGGGATTTGTTTCACCACTTTATCAGGGGCATGTCCAAGTCTCCCATGCCAGACCCCTAGATCCTCTTCTACTATGGAATGATCATGTGATTGTACAGTTGCAGCCTTGGCTTTGTCCTGCTTATGCTGCAGATTATACAATCCTTCAAGCTCCTTACCAATCCCCTTCGCTTTCCCATTGTGAAGGTCCTGCATGATCCAAAAATCAAAATAGAAGGACAAAAAACAATGTAAGTCCCTTGTAAGTTTAGAGACTGACAACAGATTGTACTTAAAATCTAGAATGTATAGTACATTCCTGATAACACCACATTCACCAATCCTACTCTCTCTAGTACAAGCAATATCTAGTGATGTACCATCAGGCAAATGAACCTTAGAGTTCGACTTTAGGTTATTAGTATTAATCTTGTCAAGTAATTCTCTGGTGTGAACCATGTGATTGGTTGCACCAGAGTCCACTATCCAATTTTCACCTTTTGATTTGTCAGCTAATGTAGTAACCTTGGTCGTACCTGCAAAATGCTGTGAATTATCACCTGTGTCTTTCTTGAGCAATTTTAGAATTTGATCATATTGTTCCTGAGTGAACATGATTGGTTGAGCCAATGCAGGGGTTGGATTTCCAGCTGGTGAGTTCAGCATCTGCTGCCCTTCCTGAGATACTGCATTAGCTGCTGCCTTTCCCGTATACTGTTGTCCTTCATTTGTTGTGGTATTAACCATTGGTCTTTGTGGAAAATTGTTAGCTTTTCTCCTTGCTTTGAAGTCATTTGGATAGCCATGGAGTTTGTAACATGTTTCTCTTGTATGACCTTTAGAGTTACAATAGTCACAAAATAGATTGTTTCTTCTAGGCTTATATGTGCTTCCTGTATTCATGCCTCCTTTGTTAGTGAAAAGTGTTGTACTATCTCCCATGTCTAATGTCTGTATAGATTTTCTCATATTTCTCTGCCTTTCTTCAGAAACAACCATAGAATAGGCCTTATTGACAGAATGTATTGGACTCATCATTAAAATCTGACTCCTAGGTTGTGCATACGTCTCATTCAGGCCCATCAGAAATTGTAGCAATCTCTGATATTCGAAATGCTCCGAGTAGCTCTTAGATTCTGGACAGTCACATCCAGGACATGGCATCAATGCATCATATTCTTCTCATAAATCCGTCAATCGTGAGAAATAGGCTGACACGGTAGAAATTCCTTGCGACAAAGTTGTAATTTCCTTATGCAGAAAAAATATGCGAGATCCATCGACTTTATCATATTTATCCTTCAAATCTGTCCATACTTTATGTGAACTTGATTTATACACAATACCACTGAGCAATTCCTTGCTCACAGCATTCATGATCCAAGACAAAACTATTGCATTATATTTTTCCCACAGTTCATACAATGACTGATCAAACTTATGCTTAGTGCATCGTCCATCATCAAACCCTAATTTGCTCTTTCCTATCAATCCTATTCTCATAGAGCTACTCCATACTGCATAATTCTCACTTCCATTTAGCTGAATTGAAATCAAGGAACTACCTGGTATGTCACTTGGCTGCAGAAACAGAGGATGATGATGATTGATGGTTATGGCGGTTGAGTTTGTGCTGGTTCCAGCTGGAATTTCTTCTCCAATTGCCATATCTATCAACCTCAAGTAGACTGAATTTTATTTTTCACAACTAACAGAGTTTTTCAATTGCAAATTGCGAGAAAAAAAACTGTGTGCCCTAGCTCAATCGATTGAAAATTCACAATCGATCTACGACAGAAAATTGCCGGAGAAAAATGATGAATGACAGCTGCAGTGAACGTGGATCTATCGTCCCTGCTCTAATACCATAATGAAGATATGAGAGCTTCAGAGAAGACAACAATGGCGAAAATGAAGGAGAAACTTCTAGAGAGAATTTCAGTTTGAGAGGAGAAAATGAATCATGTATTGAAACTCTAATTACAATCTACTGAAGTTATCTATATATACACGCTTCAATTATAGAATCTAACCTACTGACCTCTTGCCTCTACACTAACCAATCCCATAATTAGTTACAACTAATTAATCCTTCTTAACTAACTTAACTCCACTCACGTGATAGGCACGTGACCACTTCTATCTTCAACAGATTAGTTTCAGACAGTGTGTTGCCACGGTTAGGGGGTTCCAGTTTTCCAACTTTTAAATTTAATGCTTTGAAAACATATGCCGGGCCATAATATAATATGCCATAAATATTAACAAATTTGTTTACTTATTATATCTGTTGGTATTTCAAATATTATGTATAAATGTAACTTTGTCGGTATTTAACCCTATGAAAACTAGATTATTCATTCAATATAAATGCATGATATATACTCTAAAGTGTTAATTTAGAGAAAAAGAAAGGAAGATAGCAATACATTATCATATTTTGAAAGAATTTAGAATATTTCCTATCAGAATATAATTCGATTTTTTTAGCCTTTAAAAATAGGTTTCACGTTGGATAAACTTATAATTATGATTATAATTTAATTATGTTACTAATATTTATGAATCTTAAATCAACTAAAATATTGATTAATAAATCTTTCTTTATTTGAATTATATAATTTTTTTAATATTTAGGAACTTAATTTACCAAAGAATTTTATATTGTTAACTTTTATCCTAATTAAATAGATTATCCAAGAGTAGAACGGTTTATGCATGTCATGCATTTTCATTCTTTCTTCCTAATTCTTCTTTTGATATAAAAACAGTACTAATAATTATTATTACTCTGATATTTGAAAAATATACTGATCAATAATTAAAATAAATTACTAACAAAATATTTAAGAATCAAACGAATGAGAGAGAGAGAGAGAGGGGGAGAGAGAGGAAGAAAAGTGGTTGAGAAAAATCAATGATACTAATAACTCTCCAAAAACAAAATTCAAAAGTGAAAATCAAATTAATTTCTTACGCCTTGATAATATAATTCTTATTTGATAAAATTATAATTACAGTTCGGTATCTAAAATTACAGATTACCAAATTTGACGATTTTGAATCAACCAAAATTAAACTATTTCTTTTAATATTGAGAATAAATAACTAAGTTTTAGAATTAACTAATTAGAAAAAGAATGTAATTTAATTATTTTTTATGCAAGTAAAATTATTTTGAAGTTGATAATTCTCTTAGGATACATAGATTTGTTTTGATAAGAAGATCATTAGCGGTTAAAAAAACAAGAAAGAATTACAAGAAAATACACATAACTTTACACCATAATAAAAAATGGCCCATATTTTTTAAGTTTACCCGCTATAGCCCGGTTTGTATAGAATTTGAAGGAAAGATTTCAATAACTAACCTAGTTCTCTTTTTCCCTACACGCCCAAAATGCTCTCTCTCCTGGTGCCTCTTCATTCTCTACGGGCCATCATCTTCTATCCTCCATATTTTTTTGATCTATCTCCCATATTCATCTTCTATCTTCTATAATTTTAAATCTATCTTTCATCTATCTTTTCTCTTCTCTGATTTCCAGATCTAATTTTCCTTAAATTTTTTTTAATTCTCTCAAACTTTCCTAATACAAAAAGATGAAAGTCTAGAATAAGATGAAGAATATGAAGTTAGTTGTTCGTTTGAAAGGATTGAGGAAGAAAACGTTTGACCCATTAATGATTTAAGTAATTTTGATTGATAAATCTCTGAGTCTCTTACTGTGAGCATTTGGTATCGAAATATAAGTCCCAAAAATCATAATTCCGCCACTGACGAAGCTGAAGTTTTCAGATCTGAAAGTTTTCATTGTGAATTGGTGCTTCAATCCAGATGGGTATTGACTAATAATAGTATTATTGATCGGGTGAGACAAAATTTAAGAATTTGGGATTCATCTAGACCTATCTTGAGCTGATTGGCTCTTCTTCTTATTTTTTCTTGTTCTTTTTTAAAATATTGGTGTTAAACAGAGGTGTAGTGATGGACATAAGGTATTTTTCAGTGCATATACCGTATAACTGGTGTTTATACACACTTATACAAATATTGTATAATTATGTGTATAAAATAGGTATAAGTGTATAGATTTGTGTATAATGATGTATAATTATATTTTTTTCCAATGTATAAGGGTGTATATACATTATTATTGTATAAGAGGTCTTCACGAAGGTTTGACACTTTTTTATATGGTAAATTTTATGTTGAAATAAAGGTTCAATGATGGCTGGAAAGTTTTTTTCTAGTGTAAAATATGCATGTTGAATTTATGTACATTCAGTGCATATGTTGTATTCTCATACATATGTATTATATATATTGTATAAATATGTATATAAGTGTGTATAATTATATATATATACGAGCATATAATAATGTATTTACATTGCATTCCAATGTACAATTGTGTAGAAATATATATACATACTATA